TTTTTTTTTTTTTTTTTTTTTTTTTTTGGTACGGGGAATTGAATTTAGGGCCTCATTCTTACCAGGCAGATGCCACTGCACCACTGAGCTACACCCCCAGCCCTACATATCCTCTCTTAAAACAGAGCAGTTGAGTAGTCCTGGAGGAAATTACTTTGTTGGTTAGACTGGTGACATTTAAAATCTGCAGTGTCCAGTCTCACTTAACTTGACCTCCAGACTCACTTCCCTGCTGCAAACACTTCCCCTCCGCTCCTGCTTTTAGTTTCTCTTTCTCTTATAATTGAAGTCCCTGAGTGAGCAGAAATAGCTCCTTTCCCTCCTTACCTCCCACCCCCACCTCTCTAGTAAAACTGCCCTGACGAAGGTTGCCAGTGACTTCCCACCGTGGCCAGTGACTCCAACTCATTTGACCACTCTGCTGAATGTCACACTGTTGGCATCTCTCCTGGAAATGCTGTAGTGTCGTCCAATCTCTGGCTTTCTGGTTCAAGCACTTGTTGTTGGACCCTCTCTACTCTTTCCCTGGGTTTTTTCATCTGTGCCCAATGATTAAACAGCCAAGTAGAAGCAATAATTCTCCAGCCCACAACTTTCATAGAGTTCCAGACATTCACATCCGATGGTCTGCTGAGTGCCTTCATTTAGATAGTAATAGAACTTGCCTTCTTCTCTGTCAAGCCTCCCTCTGTCTCAGTGAACAATTCTCTCACCCACCGCTGTCCTCAGTCACTGGAGTCGTTTATAGAAAATACCGGAAGGAGTCTGTGCAGGTTTGGTGGAAGAAATCTGGAACGACTACAGCCGGAGGTGAAACGCAGTATGCTACTGGAAGGCATGCTCAGTATGAAGGAAAGGGAAGGGACAACCAGAGGAAAAAAAAATCATGTGTTTATCTGGAGAACTTAGGGACTTTATCCTTTAGGTTAGTAATGAGAAAGTCTCTCTTATGGGGCAGGAATAGTCCTCTAGGAATTATCATGACCTGGATGATCATTCTGTTTAGACTAGCTTTGTTTTGATTGCATGCTTCCCATGACATAGATCCATACATTCTATATGTAACTATGTAGACATTAGAGCACACGATATTTTATAAAAATATATAATAATGCAGTATCACATGAAATATCTGTCTACTAAACTCTATGAGACAGAATATATGTAAATCCTATTGCAAACCCTACATTCACTGGAAGCACCCATCATCCATATCCTCAGACCAC